GCTTCGTATTTCTTTTTCTTCTTTTTACCTCTTCTGGGTACAGATCGCTCTCATGGTAGCGCGGCATGTGCTCCGTGAGACCAATCGTCTTGAAGCCGACCGAAATGGCGTGCTTGATAATGTCCTCGAGCTGGTCTACAGCGTGGCTGCAAAACTGGCCCGAGTGGGAGTGCATTGTAAACGCCATGGCTGCGGGACAAAAGTGCTCCCTGGCTGTGATTTCAAGCCCCGGAGGATCGGTTAGAATGATGCTGCGAATAAAGATGTATCTGTATTTTTGGGTCAAGAAAAGGACGCGGTGAAGCTTGATGTGATGATGAATCGGAATCGGCGCCGATAATTTTCACGTGGTGGATTCCGGTGACGTGAATCGACCAATGTGGAAATTTTTCTGCCCGTTGCCGGAGCGGGCGCCGTTCGCGGGACGTGGGGGCGCGTAGGAACGCACTGAGGAACCAGGATGGTGCAGAAGAGTTTGAAAAAATGTTCCATACGAGCCAATGAGGAGATGGATGATAGCTACTGGTCGGAATAGGCGAGATGAATTGCATCTTGTGGTTTTGGGGTGTCCCCTTGAACGAGGCTGGCTGTGTAATCGAGTAATGCCCTGATCTCGAGTTTTTTGCTGAGTGGTGACTGGTGACTCGGGATACATCGAAGAGAACCCACAGGGCTGGCCACGGTGGGCCACGGCGGGCCACAGCACAAAGTACCGTCTATCCCCTGTACAGAAGCTGTACAGTGGCTACAGCAGCCGTATAGGTAGTAGCTACAGCAGCCGTGCAGTGGCTACAGCAGCCGTATAGCGGCCAGTACAGCGGCCGTACAGTGGCTACAGCAGCCGTACAGTGGCTACAGCAGCCATACAGCAGCCGTACAGTGGCCAGTACAGCGGCCGTATAACACCTTGAGAGTCCTAAGTTACCAGATTTGTGAGGAGTACAGGTGACTCGTAAAAGGGTAGAGAAATAGCTCTTTTTATCTATATAAGACGCTTTTTTGTGCCCTTATTAGAAAAGGTACTTCGTTAACCAGGGTTAGATTATGGCTAACTAGGGGGTTTAAGCAGGGCAGTTAAAGTTATGTATTTTTATAAAGAAATATGAAGAAATATGAAGAAAACTAGGTTGTGTCACTAGTCACCACGAGTCATCTGTCACCAAAAAACTCAAGATCAGGGCATAACTGAAGAATGCGGTCTGACAATACGCGCCAAAGATGATTCGAGGCTTGTTGATGTCTGGTCACGACCAGGATTTAATAATTCTCTTGAAATAACGTTGATGCGACTTGTGCTGATTTTCCCCAGTGAATCTCTCCTGAGGGATGTGGATTAGGTCGCTACACTGTATGTTCTGTAAGTGATTAGGAAATGATGAATAAAAATCAATGCACTTGGACAGAAAAAAAAGTCATGACCATTCTTAATTGAGAACTTGATATAGTGTACTTCCGAAGTGCTCTGTTCAAGACAACATGGCAGACCGGGGAAATTATCACCTACATTAGCAGTTACCAGTCTGCGGAGCCGCGAGCAAGCAACGTCGTGCTCCGGTTATACACTTTTCCGCGGACTCGATGAGGTGCGTCCGCGGACGGTAACTCTACCAAGTTTATAGCCAGACAGACGATCAAGTATAGTCATCTTGGTCATTGCCATGGCTAGTTTTCAATCAATTCAATTCGACACGGCACATTTGTTAGAATGGGCAAATGGATCAACAAGTTGGTCGACGGTTTTTGACAATAAATTGGTAGACCATTCAGAATTAATTTTACAGGACGTGTCCCTGCTAATTGTTCCTAAAAACAACAGAATATTTTCTGATTCCATAAGCCGAATAGAGAAAAAAAAAAAAAAAAAAACAAATGTGATGGCCAAGTAGCCTAGTAAAATCGTTGCAAGACACCGACCGGATCGCAGGACCATCATCCCATGCAGCCGCTAGTTCCGGGGGGCAACCTCCACCCCCGCATTCTCGTATAAGAAAGATCTCGGGCGCCTCGGCAGCTTTTTTCACTTACACCAATCCCCGTTCAAACACCCTTTTTTTTTTTCTTCTTGTTTTTTTTTTTTTCAAATCCAGAACGTCTCTCCAAGCGTCACAAATGGCAGCCCGCGAAAAAACCCCCGCCTACGTCCTCGGCGTCGGCATGACGGAATTCATCAAGCCGCGCAACCTGCGCGACTACCCGGAGCTGGGCTACGAGGCGGGCATCAAGGCCATGCTCGACGCGCAAATCAACTACGACGACGTGCAGACGGGCATCGCCTGCTTCAACTACGGCGACTCGACGTGCGGTCAGCGCGTCTTTTACCAGTTTGGCATGACTTCCATTCCCATCATCAACACGGGCAACGCCTGCGCCACGGGCTCCGCGGGCCTGTACCTCGCCCGCACAATGGTCCGCAGCGGCGCGCTCGACTGCGTGCTCGTCGTCGGGTTTGAAAAGATGGAGCCGGGCCACATCAAGGACAAGTGGACGGACAGGGCCAAGCCGACGCAGCTGAGCCGCCAGATGATGGAGGACATGTGCGGCACGGCGCCGGGACCGCTGAATGCGCAGTATTTTGGAAATGCGGCGAGGGAGTACATGGAAAAGTGCGTTGTTGTTGATTACACCTTAGTCATCCCCCCCCCTCAAAATTGCAGGAATATATATCGCTAATGGTAAACTTTTTTGAAAAGATACGGAGCCAAGGCGGAAGACTTTGCCGAAATCGCCCGCATCAGCCACAAGCATTCCCAGCGCAACCCGTACGCGCAGTTCCGCCAAGAGTACTCGCTGCAACAAGTCCTCGACTCGACCATGATCTACCCGCCCCTGACCAAGCTGCAGTGCAGCCCCACGAGCGACGGCGCCGGGGCCGCCGTCGTCGTCTCGCAGCGCTTCCTCGACGCGCGGCCGCACCTCCGCGGCCAGGCCGTGCTCATGGCCGGGCAGCAGTTCACCACCGACTCTGACCGCCTGTACTCGCGCAGCGCCATCCAGCTCATCGGCTACGACATGACGCGCCGCGCCGTCGCGGCCGCCCTGCGCGAGGCGCAGACGTCGCTCGACGACGTCAAAGTCTGCGAGCTGCACGACTGCTTCTCGGCCAACGAGCTCATCTTGCTCGAGAGTCTCGGCTTCAGCGACGTCGGCCGCGCGCACGAACTTGTGCGGCGCGGCGATATCACGTACGGCGGGCGCGTCGTCGTCAACCCTTCGGGCGGGCTCATCTCAAAGGGCCACCCGCTCGGCGCCACGGGCCTCGCGCAGTGCGCCGAGCTCGTGTGGCAGCTGCGCGGCTGGGCCAACAACCGGCTCGTCGAGGACATTGACGTTGCGCTGCAGCATAACCTGGGGCTGGGCGGCGCGACTGTCGTGACGGTGTATAAGCGCGCGGATGGGGCCAAGAATGCGCGGGTCGGCAGCGAGGAGATTGCAAAGAGCAGCTGGCTGGGGTATAATCCGGCCGTGGAGGCGCGTGGGTTTAGAGAGGCGGATGCGGCGAGGGCGAGGAGCCGTACGGCGAGGAGCGAGTTTGCGCTGTCGGATACGCAAAAGAAGATTGAGGCACGTTTGTAGACCAGCCTTGATGTAGTATAGTTGATGTATGAGCCCGAATTGGAGTTGTTCTTGCCAACGAAACGTATCTTCGTGTCCACTACAGACGAGACTGGATCTTGGGACAGTCAAAATACACCCTCCTTGGTGCATGTTGCGACAAGCCCACGTACACTACAGATGAGACTCTGGATCTTGGGACAGTCCAAGTAAAACCTCTTGGATGCATGTTGTGACAAGCCCAAGTCCACTTGGATCTTGGGACAATCTAAATAAAATCTCTTAAATGCATGCTGCGACAAGACTAAGTCCACTACAGACGAGGCTCTGCATCTTGAGACAGTCTAAATAAAATCTCTTGAATGCATGCTGCCACTACAGATGAGACTCTGCATCCTGAGACAGTCTAAATAATCCCTCTTGAATGCATGTTGCCACAAGAACCCCGTCCGCCGTCCATATCCTCTCCAATACCAGCCCTCTGTCCTGCCCTGCCCAGGGCGTTTCCATTTCCATCACCATCCAGTCGTCTGCCCTGACCTCGTCCTGGTTGTGGAAGAAAATGGCATGATCCAGACTGACCATCATGTCAATCTTGGGCGGCGACGACGCCTTGCTCGTGTCCTTTGTCGTCTCTGCGCCGCCTTTGCCTGTACGATTACTGGCCTCTGCGTCCGCCAGCTCTTCCTCGGCGAGCATCTTGAAGCGATCCGTCGCCACCTCTTGCTGGCCCTCGTCCAGCTTGCGCACCACATTCTCCACGAGGCCTTTATTGCTGAACCGGTGCGCCTTGTGCACGCGCGGCACAGTGCCTAAAAAGTAATTGTCCGTCATGTACGCCAGGGCCGCCTGGTGCAGCGCCACATCTCCTCCCAGCCCTCGTGTCCGCTGCGTCATCGTCGTTGTTGTCGTTGTCGACGACGACGAAGTCAATGGTGGAAGCTTGGCCCTCGTCATTTGCACAATGCGCTGCAGCTCCGGGCGCTGATGCCCGTCGTCGTTGTCGTCGTCCTGTTTCCCCCGTCGTACGCGAATCGACTCAAATGGACAGTCGGCATCGACCCGGCTCGTCGACGAGAGCGCCACCGACGCGCCGCCGCTGCGGATCGAGGCCACCGTCGCCGGGGACACGGGCGACGCCGGCTGGTGCTGCAGCATGCGCGGACCGCGGCCTGCGGTGCGGCCAAAGTTGAGCATGGCGGAAAAGACGCACTTGCCGCCACGGGACTGCTGCTGCTGCATGCAGCGCACCGACCGCGTCGCGATGCTTTTGCCGTCGCGCAGCCGCTCGACGTGCGAGTAGAGCGGCTCGTCGGGCTTGACGGCGAGGAAGAAGTGGCAGTGCATCGTGTCGGCGACGAAGCCGGCGGGCACCGTGGCTTGCGCGGCGGACAGGGCTTGCGCCAGGACGGCGCCGCCGAAAGCGCCCCGGCCCCAGAGCGGCTTGTACAGGGGCGCCTTGTTGACAAAGACGTCGGGGCCTTGGTCGGGGGCGGCATGGCAGGCTACAGCGGCTTCCATTGTGTTTGGTGCCGGCGATGAAGCCGAATGAGATGTGGGATGGAACAAGGGAGGTGGATCGGGGCAACTAGGTCGTAATGGGTGACCTTTACATAGGCTGATGCCAGGTCCGTGTGACGCGTAGACGGGATAAAATATCGAGAGATATTCCCGAGTCTTTTGCCAATGGCTAGTCAAACAAGTATGCAATTGGAGTTGTCGTAATTTAGTTCATCGCAGCCTGCCGAGGCTCGGCAATTGGCGTCCGTCCGTGGTGGACACCATCGCGCCGTTCCTGACGTCCGCGGAAAAAAGATGCGCAGTATCAATTTTGGGTTCATCAACTCGGCTGGGAAAAAGAGTCAATATGATGCCAATGTATCGGTTAAGAAGCACCAGACGAATTCAATGTGAATATTTATAGAATGAGGTGAAGATTACTGCCATGATCAGTCTCGATTTTCCGAGAGCATCTCAACCAGGTCAAGATCGGCGTACAACAGCAGAATAACGTGAATATTGTCTCTTTGAAAATTTTACTTGTTCGTTTTTTATCTTTAAAAATCAAGTCTCGTCTTCCTTTGTAATGCTGCTAATTTGGTCGAGTTGCGCGTTCATGGCATCTTGAATCCTTTGACACCAAAATTGGCCAAATTCGCAGCCCATGTGATAATGACTAACAATAGCCACCAATTTCGAATAAAACTCACCAAGGCTTTCTTTTATGCTAGATAACTCTGGCGACGGCCACAAGCCAGCCGCACCGAGTGACGATTCCATCATGGCGCGCATCGCCTGTCGGCAGCGCTGGGGGCCGCCTCGCGCCGCAAAACGAGACCACCTCGAACACTGCTCCAGGAGAACAAGTTTTGCAAGCATGTCGGCTGTCGTGTCAAGGAGAGCCTGTAAAGACGCTGTTCGGATGTCGCACAGGCGAGCTGAAGAAAAGGTTAGACCGCACAGCAACTCGGACGGCTGGGAAAAGGGAAATGTTTCACCCATTACACTTGTTGCTCTTGCGCTGCTCCAAAGACGATTACCGTTGGTAAACTCACACGCGTCTAGCTCAACGGTCACTCTGTGCGCCATTGTGCGAAAGTTGTCGCTGAAGCCAAGCTCCCAAAACACCCATAGCACCATGGCCATGTCGTCCCTGCGCACGGTACCCTCCACACCAGCTATCCACGACTCAACCCAAGGGCCAAGTATCGAGGTACACTGGTAGCGGGACGTCAAAATGGACAGGTTGTACATTTGCTTGATGCTGAGTGTGCGAGGAACGGCGAGGAAATGCGCGTGGGCAATGTTGAACAAGATCGTCAAGGAGTCGTCATCGTTGCCATTGAGCTCAAGTATAACACGGCGACGATTGCATCGGTCTTGGGTATCTGGAACGGAATCTTGACGCGTCTGGGACCGTAGAACTGGTGACATTCGAGCCAAGGCGCGGGAACAAACAACGTAGCGACTCGTGTCGCCGCTCACCTGAACCTCAATGTCGCCATGATTGTCGAAAATAACGGTACTCTCACATATGGACATGGTGAATTCGTTTGATTGCCACAACTGCGCCCGACTGCGGACATTTTTTTTAAAATATAAGTCTATTTTCTCCTAGCGACCAGAGAGCTCCATTTCGGGCCCGTCGGCGAAGCGATAACAACGCCAACAACCTTGGCAGCAAAGCTTCAAGTTGGCAAGTCTCAGATTGAAAAAAATCACTGCCCGTTCTTTTTCGTATCCGTTTCTGTCTTGAGCATTTGAATTTTGCCCAAATACGGCTGTGGCTATGATTCTGGGGCAGACTAGGGAGAAATGGCCCCCAGACCCTCTGTGGGACAACACAGCCACCCTTTGGATAAAAATAGGCGCTGGGGGCCGTTATGCCATGACACCAGCTATTTTACTGTCAAGACTTGTAAATAAAAGTACGTAAATACATGGTCTATCAACAAGCTTGTTGTGCGTGCTGCACAGAGTTGTGGAAACTCTCATGGCTTCGAAATGTTTGCCGACAGGATAATATTCGACGAGGACGGCGATGCCCAACTCTGTGTTGGTTCCGCTTACAGCAATCCGCCTGCGATTTTCATCGCCTGCTCCCGCGCTCTATCGCGCGCTTCGCCCGTCTTTGACGAGATATTACACGGTACCCGCGCCCAACAGGGAAAAGACGCCGTCATCATCGACCTTGCCCACGACAAGCCGGCGTCCTTGGCGCTCTTGCTGTTCGCCGTGCACTCCCGGTTCGACCACGTGCCGGCCTGTCTACCCATTGATGCCTTGTACGACTTGACAGTGGTTGCGCAAAAGTATGGCGCGACGGCTGCGTTAAGGCCGTGGACGGGCAAGTGGACGCAGGCCGTGGCTGTTGAGCTCGAGGGCGAGGACGACAAGCTGCCCAAGGCCATGAGCATTTACTGGGCGCTGGGGTGTCGCGCAGGCTTCTTCAGCACAGCGGCGCGGTTCGCAGAGTGTGCCCCGGATCTTGGGACGACGACGGATTTGGCGGATTTGCAAATACCGCCCGACACCGTCGGTGAGTAGCCATATAGAATGAATGGTTTAAAGCAGGCAAACCCAAGCTGACGGCTTGGGCAGAACACATTATAGCAATCAGACGGCAGACTATTGATTTGCTTTGCAATGTGTTTCGGGACATGATTCGGCATCTCTTGATTGTGGATGAAGGCCCGCGTTGGTGCCACCATGCGACGTGGTTTGGCCACCACCGGTGCGAATCCATGATTCTCGGGTCCATCATGTCAGGTCTCTCTCGCGTGAAGCTCTGGCCGTTGCCAGACGCAAAAGATGCATCATGTAGCGTTTTGAAGCTTTACGAAAAGTTGGATAGTGTTGTCGTGCACGACATTGGGAAAGAGACAGAGAATGGTGCTGATCACCAAGTTTGCAATCCGAGCCAACACCTCAAAAGCGCCATGAAGAACATTATGGACGGCATTCCAGGGCGTCTTTCGAAATTAATCGTGTTCAAAACAGGGCAATTAGATTTATCAAAGTAACTTGTGTCGTCTTGTACCTCTTGATACCAATTCCTCCCGAGTAGCCACCAAGATATAGACATTTGTGTTGGCCAACAAAGTTGCCAAAAGCAAGCTGTGGGGGCCTCGCAGGAACACAATAATAGAGTACATTTACTATTATAAGAGGAGCGGTAACAGCACTAATACACGTGGCGCCTTTCACCATCCTCTTTAGCCCAATCGAGTTTCCATCATCAGGACTGGAGGAGCATTAGCCTTGCTGGGCCAAGGCGGTGATTATGACGTAGCAATCTACGAAAAAAGGAAATGTCTCTGATTCATAAGCCACATGCCCGCCAATGCCCGCCTTTACCATCTTTCAGGGGTTGTGGTGGCGTCAGCCAAGAAGCAAGGCTAAAAATAGACACGAAAGTGGACCTCGCCAGGAACCACCCGAGAGTGGTACAGCGAAGTGTATTGGCTTTCTAGTTTTCTGTAGTACATAAGCTTAAGTAGTGCATAGTCTTTGTACTACACGATGAATATGGATCGTCATTTTGACTGTATACAAGTGACAACCAAATGGCGAGAACGGAAAGTGGCTTCATTGCAGTAGACCGCCGCGGCGATGTTACGCTCCAAGTTGGACGCGATTGCGAAACCAAAGACAATTTCTGGCAGCCTGCCGAATTTCTCGTCTGCTCTCGCACACTAGCCCGAGCATCCCCCGTCTTTGACCGCATGCTGTACGGGCCCTACATCGAGGCCATGGGCAACAAGACTGACGCGACCGGCTGGACCGTCGCGCTGCCCGAAGACAAGCCCGCCCCGATGCAAGTCTTTCTCAACATTGCGCATGCCAACTTTGTCCTGGTGCCTCTCATTCTATCCGTGGATAGTCTGTACGACCTGTCCGTGCTGACAAACTACTACGACGCGACGCCGCTGCTTTTACCGTGGATCGGGGCCTGGATGGCATCGCTGGCGGAGATTTCACAAGACGCCAACGAGATTCAGTACAAGATGCTCTGGATCGCATGGGAGTTTGGGAGAAAGGAGGAGTTTGGCGCGATTGCGCACCGGATGCTGATGGAACAGCCGGAGCAGTGCGAAGAGGCGGCGGGGGATCAAGTGCAAGTTCCCCATGTCCTCGGTAAGACAGGCGCAATACCCTTGGGGGGACAAAAGCTTCCTTTGATAATCCCCCCCCCCTTTTTTTTTTGAGCGCTAACATTTGGCTTTGTAGACGAAATTGAGTCTATTCGAGCCCAAACTATAAGCAAGTTGCTACACATTGTCGGTGATGTAGCCAAGAAACTCACAGTCGGAGATCAACGTCCGAGATGGTGTCGTTACGCAACCCACGTGGGACACCACCAGTGCGAGCTCATGTCACTAGGATCAATGACTTTTTGTCTTGCGAGGGCTGGTTTGTGGCCTCTTCCCGAGGCTGCTCAAGTCAAGCTCAGCTTGAGCGACCTCTACCGCATCTTGACCAACCTGGTCATTCACGACATTGGAGCGACGGCGGACGCGCCAGAGACGGATCATAGGTTTTGCAACCCACGTCGGATGCTAATGGACCGGGTTGATCAGATCATGCGGGGCATACCTAGCCCGTTGACAGAGTTTCATGTCCGTCATTTGGAGAAGCAAGCAAAGAGGCTGCGTCAGGGTCAGGGGTCGACAAAGTGACGGGACAGATGGCCTGCTACAACCAACAGAGTCAATATATACTAGAGACCTACAAGTAGTTCCATCTTCTTTAGGTAGATGAGGACATGTGCTAGAGTAGCTAGAGACTCTAGTAATATCAGAAATGCTATGATCTATGTTAGCAAGCGGTTTTGACTATCAGCGCGAAACGACATATGCGGAATACACACGATTTTACCATTGAGAAGAGAGAATGGCCAGAACATTATTCATAAAGCATAAAGCGAGTCACTTGAAATGTCATGCGGATGTTGTTTAAGGTAGATTACTGAAATGCATCAACGAGGTTACAACATTTCCATGACACACATAGCCCAGCCTCAACGAGAGACTCTTAATTTGCTATCGAAATGAGCTTGACTATTGAAAAAAATAAATACTCTGTTGGGATACTGCTACCTCTGCAAAAAGTATTACGATTTCCTATTGCCACCTAGGTCACTGATGCTTGCCTGCTCTTAACAGAAGTCAGCTTATGTTTGAATGAATGAGCGACTTGATCTTGACAATACCTGTCATCTTATGATGAAGCCTAATAGCCTCCACAATCCCCACCGCCGCGAAGGCAACACTCTTTGCTGAGACAATTGGCGGGACAATCTTCCGTCCTGTCACACTGGATCTCGGTGCCTCTACAGGTCCAGCCCCCCTTGTAGACGCACTTGCATTTCCATCCCTCCGCGGGAGCTTTGCTAATGATGCAGCCGCCGGAGTGATAATTGCAGTCACAGGCTGAAACAAATAAGATCCCCCCAAAAAATTAGTCACGGAACGTTGGTGGAACAGGCTAAGATTT